ATGATCCAGCACATGTTAGCAATTTGGTCTCTAGTTCCTCTGCCCCTTCAAAATCCAGCTTGTATTTCTGGAAGTTCTCGGTCCACATACTGCTGAAGCCTACCTTGTAGTAGTTGGAGCATTCTTTGGCACTGCCCTTCTTTGGGATTGGGATGTAGACTGAACATTTCCAATCCTCTGGCTACTGCTGAGTTTTCTAAACTTGCTGGGATATTGAGTGTAGCATCTTAACAGCATCATATTTTAAGATTTTAATAGTTTAACTGGAAGGCCATCACCTCCACTAGCCTTGCTGCTAGCCATGCTTTCTAAGGCCCATCTGACTTCACTCTCCAGGATGTCTGGCTCAAAGTCAGCAACCACACTATCTGGGTTGTCCGGGATATCCAGATCTTTCTCGTATAATTCCTCTGTGTATTCTTGCCACCTCTTCTTGATGTCTTCTGCTTCTGTTAGGTCCCTGCCATTTTTGTCCTTTATTGACTCCCTACTTTAGCATTCCAATCACCTAGAATGAGAAGAACATCTTTCTTTGGTGTCAGTTCTAAAAGGTGTTGTAGGTCTTCATAGGTCAGTTTCAGTCTCTTCAGCCTCAGTGGTTGGTACATAAACTTGGATGACTGTGATGTTGAAAGGTCTGCCTTGGATTCATATTGAAATCATTCTATCATTTTTGAGATTCTATCTCAATATGGCTTTTCCCACTCTTTTGTTGACTATGAGGGCTACTCCATTTCTTCTACAGGATTCTTGCCCACAATAGTAGATACGGTAATCATCTGAATTGAATTCGCCCATTCCCGTCCATTTTAGTTCACTGACGCCCAGGATGTCAATGTTTATTCTTGCCAACTCCTGTTTGACCACACCCAGCTTACCAAGGTTCATAGATTCCACATTCCAGGTTCCTATGCGATATTTTTCTTTGCAGCATCAGACTTTCCTTTCACTTCCAGGCACGTCTGCAGATGGGTGTCCTTTCAGCTTTGGCCCAACCACTTCATTAGCTCTGGAGCTACTTGTACTTGTCCTCCACTCTTGCTGAGTAACATGTTGGACGCCTTCCAACCTGATGGGCTCATCGTCCAGCATCATATCTTTTAGCCTTTTGTTTCTGTTCATGGGGTATTCTTGGCTTGCCAGTTCCTCCTCCAGGTGGATTGCGTTTAGTCGGAACTCTCCACTATGACCTGTCTGTCTTGGGTGTCCCTGCACGGCATAGCCCATAGCTTCTCAGAGTTACTCTAGCCCCTTCGCCATGAAAAGGCAGCAATCTGTGAAGGGGGGGAGATTGCCTACCCCTCTTTAAATATAAATAAGTTTGGTTCAGTGAGCAGAATTTAATCTGTGGGTTTAATAATAAAAACTGTAAACCACTACCCATTTACTCATCCATACAAAAGAGGAGAGGAGAAATTCAGAGTTAACAAGATGTGTGGACAACAGTTCTAATAAGAAATGTTCAGAAAGATGAAAATAAATCTGAAAACCACACTTGGGTCTAAAAGAAAACATTGACTTCAAAACATTGACAGAAATAATAAATCTCTAGCATATGCCTAATACATTACCAATGAGATCCGGTCCAGGTTTCTTCATGATTTCTCCCGCCTGTGGCAATCTGGTGATATTAAAGAGTATGTAGTCATCACTAGAGTCCAAGTCAGAGGCCTGAAGCATTGACCCTTGGATCAGCACCACTTGTCCTTCATGTACCTCTATCTCAACATTACTGATGAGGAATGGAGGGCTGTCATCTTTAGGGAGAATGTTGATTGGAAACTTGTGGCGGCTGCTGTGGTGGTTATCAAAGATCCTGAAGACAATATAATCCTTTGTGGAATCACTGTCGTCATGATGGTAACGAACCACACCAGCCTTGAGGTCAGAGACAGTAAACATAAAACCTTTTCCTCCTGTTAGAGAGCAAAAGGGATATAATTCATGACAGAGATGTGCTTTGGAAATAATAAGACTGCTTTATAAGAGAGGAAAGGGTGGGGATAATGAACTAAGAGGGTTACATTTATGAAGGAAAGCAATCAAAAGGGCAAGAGGAGAATATCCATTAACCTCAGGTTTCTGCAAGTTTACTCCTGAGGTCACCATAAAATTGCAGAGAATTCAGGAGATGGGAGTAGATTTTTTTGTGTTCTAAATATAATCTGTGCAGCTGCCCCCAGACTATGGAATGCCCTCCCGACTGAGATTCGGCTGGTACTGATGCTGATGACATTTTGGCACCAGGTCAAAACCTTCCTGTTCCAGAAGGCTTTTAATTGAAATAATATCAGCTGTGGGTCTGATAGCAATTTTTAGAGTATAGGTTTTTAATTGCATTTTAATTATTTTGCCTTTTATTTTAAATTTTGTAAGTCACCCAGAGACCTTCGGGTAGTGTGGGCAGCATATAAGTTAAATAAATAAATATTACTGTACTGAGTTTCCCTGAAAATAAAACAGGGTCTTATATTAATTTTTGTTCGAAAAACGCATTAGAGCTCATTTTCAGGGGATATTTTACTTTTTTCACGTACAAAAGTCTACAGTTATTCAAATCCAGTCATGTCATCTTCTTCTGGTTGCTGCACAATGGTGGAGGGCGGGGTTTCACTTAACTAGGGCTTATTTGGGGGATAGGGCTTATATTATGAGCATCTTGAAAACCCATACTAGGGTTTATTTTCAGGTTAGGTCTTTTTTTCGGTAGTTCACAATATAATTTGTTCAGGCTTCTTCCTTCTTCCCTCCCTGCCCTTCCTTGAAATGCTGAAAATCTGATTGGCCAATAATGTGAAAGAAATTGCCACACCACTTTGAAGCTTCTCTGGCAGAGCCCAGATTCTTTCTTTCCACCTCCATGTGCAAAGCTGTTTCTGCTGTACAACATAAATCCAGCAGGGTCTGGATTAATTTGGGATATGAGGAAATTGTGTTTTTTTCAGTCTTTTAAACCCTGGGTTTGGGAAACAAATGTTTGCTGTGCTGTGCTCTGTGTTTAGTCATTTAGTCGTGTCCAACTCTTCGTGATCCCATGGACCAGAGCACGCCAGGCCATCCTGTCTTCCACTGCCTCCCGGAGTTGGGTCAAATTCATGTTGGTTACTTCGATGACATTGTCCAACCTTCTCGTCCTCTGTTGTCCCCTTCTCCTCTTTCCTTCACACTTTCCCAACATCAGGGTCTTTTCCAGGGAGTCTTCTCTTCTCATGAGATGGCCAAAGTATTGGAGCCTCAGCTTCAGGATCTGTCCTTCCAGTGAGCACTCAGGGCTGATTTCCTTCAGTATTGACAGGTTTGTTCTCCTTGCAGTCCAGGGGACTCTCAAGAGTCTCTCCAGCACCACAATTCAAAAGCATGAATTCTTTGGTGGTCAGCTTTCTTTATGATCCAGCTCTCACTTCCATATATCACTACAGGGAAAACCATAGCTTTGACTATGCAGACCTTTGTTGCGAAGGTGATGTCTCAGCTTTTTAAGATGCTATCAAGGTTTGTCAACGCTTTCCTCCCAAGAAGCAGGCATCTGCTAGAGTTTGCCAAAGAACTGACAGCACTGATCCCCTCTAGTCTTCTTGGGAACAATGACACAGGCATTACTTGCCATTCTCCCTTTACTTTGTTCGTGGGTAGGTGGCCACTTACTGCATAGAAAGAGAAAAGCAATCTGCCTTGTTCAGAGTAACTTTCGTCACGTTCTCACTGGCTAGGTAATTACCAAGGATAATTTGTGGAAACCTCATAGGATATTGCCTTTTATCAAGGTAAAATTATTAATCCATCTGAGAACCAGTGCAGTGTGTGGTGGATAGCGTGTAAAACTAAGACTCAGAAGACTTGGGTTCAACCCCCTGCTTGGTAATGGAAATTCACTAGGGCAGGAGAGATCGTAAAACCACTCCCTAAACACTTCACTCACCTTGAAAGCCCTACAAGGGGAGCTGTAAGTCAGACGTAACTTGATAGCGCATAACAAACAAAATGTCTGTATTATGTAGTCTGGTTGGCAACAATTGTCCAAATTTCTCAGGTCAAGGCAACAATAAAGAGGAAACAGCCCATGCACTGGGCTGATGGTAAAGGACAAAATTGCAAAAGCTGCATGGAGAGATCTGCCAGCAGAGGGTACCTCTTACAGTGAGCTGTCCATGCTGCAAACCATCAACGATGACTAAGCGGACTCCATTGATATCATCATTGTCTACAATCTGAAATTGCTTCCATGTTATAGGGCGAGACTGCCCTTCCAGAAGATCAAGACCTTGAAAAAGATAATAGGGAAAAAAAGGCTATAACATTTATTGGGATGGGGAGGAGGGCAGAGCTTGAAAGTGTTTGTTTTTTTAAAGGTGGCTTTTAAATAGTGCAGGATGGTCACTTTCATAGGAGTGAGAAATCTGCTCTGGGTTGTATTGTGAACTTTAGAAGTGCTATCTAAAGTCTGAAACTTATGCTCCAAACAGCTTCAGATATGGATATCTCATCTACAGTTTTGACTAAAATTCAGTGTGGATTAAATCAGGGCCACCAGCCTGTATTGTTTATAAATAGTTGCTTCCTAGCTCAGGGGAACCACCAATGGCTACAAGTCATTATGGCTGTATGTTACCACCAGTAGATGAAGAAGTATCCCAGTTGCTAGGGAATGCTAGCAAGAATGCTGTTACTTCCATGTTCTGCTTTGTGGGCTTCCCATATGCAACTGGATGGCCAGTCTGCGAACAGAATCCTGACCATTAGTCTGATCCACCAGTACTACATTCTTATATAGCACTCTTATGTTCACCAGGCTGATCATTCCCAATTTGCTTTATCTGACAAAAACTCTAGTTAAACAGAACTCTCTCTCTCTCTCTCTCTCTCTCTCTTTTAAGTCTTACTTGACTGAGACAGAGATAGATTTCTTTTTCACCAGACTTGAATGTTATTATGTTTGAGAAATCAGTATGTGTTACTCCACACAGACTGACATCACTAAAGTTACCAAGTCATGAAAAAGCAAATATGAACCAGTTGTAAATATACACGTATGTTATTCATGACACCCTATAACATACATGACCTTGGGCAAGCTTTTTCTTGTTGTTGATCACATGCATTTTAAGAAGGGACAAGGGCCAGCCCCCTTCCCAAAGAAATAAACCTCTTGCTTGACTGGGCACAGGGATGCTTATGCAGAAATATGAACTCTAATATACAATGGAAACTGAGAATTAGTCACCTTATGGCAGGGTTCCCAATCTTGGGTAACTCAGATGTTTTGGATGGCAACCCTCAGAAATCCTGTCCAGCACAGTTAGTAGTGAAGACTTCCGGGAGTTTTAGTCTAAGAACATCTGGGGGCCCAAAGTTGAGAACCACTGTCCTGTAACATTTATTCACCCATGTATTTTATCATTGTTTCATGTTCTTATTTGTCATTAAAAAAATTATTTGTCTCACTTATTATTACTCCAAAGCTACGTGTAAGAACTTCTAGAAACAGTATTTGTTGCCAAGACACCCAAAGTAAAAGGAATTCTTACCTGTATTCCAAGAAACCCGAGGGGCATTTGTATCTGCTGTTCTAACAGATACATAAAGAGTAATTGGCAAACTCCTCTCAAAGTACAAGTCATGAACTTCAAATTCCACCTGTTATACAAAAATGGACACGCTGTCTATTCAAAATTAGCTTTGAATATCAGAAGAATTGTGCTGGACAAGACTAAAGAATCGACCTAGTTCAGCCTGCTGTTCGCAAGCAGCTAATCAGATACCTTAGGCTTATGGGACACAGCATGCATGCTATCGGTCATGCTTACTAGCAGTAGTAAACAAACAGGGGTGTAGAGATTTCTCAGTATTTTGTCAACCTAGCATATAGATAAAATAGGTAATCTGGAATATTAATAATTTGGAATTGGCATGCGGAAAAAAAAAACCATGGTTAATGTTTTATAATATCCTATACTGTGTTTCACTGCAACCTCGAATGGCGTTCTCCTTATATTTAAAATGATAACTGCATTCCATCAGGTCAATTCTATACTTAGCTGCTAAAATCAGTTACAAAAAAATCGACATGCCAGTCATTCATTTTAAGTTCCACAAGAGGGCACCCTAACTATGTGTTCCATGTCGTCGAGCAGTAACTGCCTTTTGTTGTTGTTTAGTTGCTTAGTGGTGTCCGACTCTTCGTGACCCCATGGACCAGAGCACGCCAGGAACTGCCTTACAGCAACCTTAATAGGGCTTTCAAGTTAAGTGAGTTATTCCAGAACTAGTTTTACTAGTTCTACCCACATATGTGAGTTTCCATTGCCCAGCGTAATTCAAACCCAGGTCTTCTAAGTCCTGTTGCTGTTGTTTAGTTGTTTAGTCATGTCCAGCTCTTCGTGACCCCATGGACCAGAGCACGGCAGGCCCTCCATTGCCTCCTGGAATTTGGTCAAATTCATGTTGGTAGCTTCGATGACACCGTCCAACCATCTCATCCTCTGTCGGCCCCTTCTCCTCCTGCCTTCACAGTCCTAGTCAATTATTTTGTCCACTATACCACACAGAGTAGAGTGCAAATTATATTTTTTATGTAAAGTTTGCAGCAGAAAGAAAACATCCAAGGCAAAATTCACTGTTTTTTTTTTAAATCACTTCTGAACTGGGGGAAAATCAGGAAAAAAATTAAACTGCCAGGAAGAATCCTATTAAATCTTTTAAAGGGCTGATAGAATGTGCCTCACATTGTGTGAAAACAGTTAACAGACTAGAGATAATAGGAACTAGGTTTTTTTTAAAAAAAAAAATGTTCCTGCTGTGAATATATACTATAATCCTGTTGAACTAAATTCAGCTGTTCAAACTCTTTCTTCTCTTGAAATTTCCCACATGGGACAACTCTTCATGAGAAAACCTTCAAGGGCAGTTTTTCACTAGGAAAATTATACTGGGCAGGATTAAAAACAATGGGAGCCATTGACACTCCCCCCCCCCCCCCACCATCTGTCCTTGCTAAGCCCTCCCAGCATTTATCCATCCCATGCACACTTGTTCTTCGGTAACTTCATGGGAATGTCCAAATTATTCTATCTCAACATTTCTCATGAAAAAGAGAAGCAGAGTTTTGAGTCTTTTTGCTTTGGTTAAAGTTACAGTATATCTTAGGGTTAACCATGATTTTTAAAAAGGAATATATTGCCCCAAATCCTCTTGTACCACTTTTGGAAATGAATTGCCCCAACTTAAGAAATCACTGTAGGTTGTTACCAGTTGCACAGTATAACATTGTACTGTGAACTTGCTGATGAGTAAAATGACCCAATGGTCTCTTTTGAGACAACAAATGACAATAATTTCTAACATTTTCATTTGTTATCACATTTAATTATATTTCACATACATCTATAATTTTAAATTGTTCAAGCTCTGATATGGAAAAAGAAGGAATGTCTACTGTGATTTTTTTTAACATGGGGCAATTTGCCTCCAGAAGTTACACTTTTTCTGCTATGCCAGAGTAACAAGAATTTGTACCACTGCCTGATACTCTAAAAGTAATACATTACTACCATGTTGCATTTCCATTACAAAACATAATTTAAAAATAGAAATTTGGCTAAATTTGCCAAAAAAGCTTGTAAAATATCCCCTGAAACCAATAATGGTAGTAGTAATAAGTAAGCATTACTGGTTACACTAAAAAAGGGAACAACATTAGAGATGCTTTCTCCTAAGACCTGCCCTTTAATGTGGTTGCCTGTGGTGCCTAATGGTGGGGACTAGGCCTGTTTGAGAATGCCCTTTCTTAATACATGGTGTGTGGTTTGCAGAGGGCTTGCAAATGTCCAGATACAAAAAGAGAAGCAAAACTGGAATGTCTGTCTCATTTTAGCTACCTCATAATTCCTCCTCTCTGTGTGGCTGCTGTTTGGAGGCTGATAGGCAATAAGCATGTTGTTGAGACTGTTCCATGTGAAGGATGATACCGGCTTGGTGTGGTCCTCCAGGTGTGTGATGTAGCCCTCTTGGGGTGGCCTAGTGATGTTGAAGACCAGCATAGATTTGGGTGTCTCACTATCTTCAGCATCCAGTATGGCTGTCGACAAGGGGCTCAGAATGAACTGGTCTGCTTCCAGGATGAACAGGGCCATGAAGGAAGCGTGTGGCACCTGATTAGAAACCGCACCTCTGATGTAAACCGGCAGCCAGGCATGCTCAGACTATGGAAGAAGAAGCAACCAATCAGCATGTCACAAAATTGCCTTCTTTCATCTGTTTAATCATTCACAAAAAGTGTACACATGGGATAGTTAGATCACCCCTACACAACTTGCACTACCAAGCAGAAGACAGTCCAGCAGATGTATATTGTGGTCTATAAATTTTTTTGGACTACAACCATTGGGCAGCATCACCAGCTCTTTCCAAATTCAAGAGTATTCAATATGTCCTCTGTATCTGCAATTCCAGGTGGACAACAAAACACGATGTTCACTGAGTCCTGAATGGGCAAATGTCATACAGATCTATAGTAGATTTCAGGCATCTACTGTTTCATTTCTCTTTCCTAAAAAATCTACATATGTAACCCTTGGCACTGCAAAATGCATATTTGCATGGGGATAATTACTTAAGTGTTTCAGTGAAAGAAACCATGTTACAGCAGATGAAGATACTGATGATTCTGCACTGAAAGTACAACCATGTAGAAGTTCACATTTTGCTTGTTTATCACACTTCTTTTGAAATCCCACAATCTTAGAGCCAATTTATACTTTGCTCCCAGACTGCTTGTGTGCTCCTCAGTTTTTTGCTTTTCCTGTAGAATTCATTATGGTGAGAGCATGTTTTTCCTGAAGGTAAATGGAAGCATGAAAGAGCATAAGTATCTAAAGCCACTGTTGCCTGTGACCATGTTTAACAATCACCTGCCATTATATAGCTGTCCCTCCTCTATGGTTGGTTGCTCCTACATCTCTCCTATGGTCAAAATCCTGTTGCAAAGCTCCATCTGTGCAACAAGAATGACAGCCTTATCAGTGGCTGATTTCCATTGATTAAAGACTTCCTTTTTCAGCTTCAAGATATGCACTAACCACCTATAATGACACAAAATGGGAAACCAAATCTGAAAAAGAAAATCTTGAATTTGCACCAATCTGTCGCTGATGAGGGCATCATTCTCATTGCACAGGGGGAACCCACCTTACCGGATCCTACCTCTTCAGTTTAAATGTGTAGGGCAGATATCAGTGCTTGGAATGTTACTTTTTAAGAGTAAGTGATGGCTCATTTTTCCTAGTTGTTTATTTATTTAATATGTATTGGAATCCATGGTGGCTTACAAAGCCGCTTAAAAGAGTAGAAAATTAAAATACAATAATATTGCAAACTTTCACACAGAATTACATTTAATTATACTGTATTACCAAAATGCAATTAAAATTCAAGCACTTTAAAATGATTTGTTTAAAAATGCTAGATCAAATTTGACTTAAGATAGTGAAAGCTGGCACATTATCTAACTCTTACGATTCAAGGTCCTGAAGTGCCAAAGGTCTGCCTACATTTAAAATCTCATTGCCTGCAAGGACCGGTGCTCTCAGGACTTTCTACTTTCATTACAGATTTTTAAAGTAGCTCTTTAAGTTCTCATTCTTCAAAATAATTAAAATACCAGTTCACCTCTTCACTGCCTCAGTGCTTCCAGACAAATCAGCACTTTGACCATGTGATATTTCTTCTCCACCTGCAATCCATAACTATAAAAGTCACCACAAAAGATACATGCACACTGCAAAAGAAATACAATTATCGCTCTTTGAATCACAATTGTAAGGTAATGCCATTACACCTTTATGATTTTAAAAAGGTAAATACAAGTAACTAGTAACTAGTTATCTGTAATTAGCTTCTGACTGATGAGTAACGCAGCAGTGCTAACAAGATATCACAAGTTTGTCAAATACATGTGACTAAAAGCAGAGTGATAGGATGGATGCTTCTGTTTACCTTGTATGCAGTCTTGCTTCTTCTGTCAGTGAGATCCAGCCTGATGGGAATGTAATCAATGCTGGGTGAAGGAGGATTCAAATGCTGGTATCTAAGGTCCATCAGGAGGAAATCCTCACAACTTACTTGGAGGTTCTGAATAATCTTCAAACCTGAAACACAGCTATCCGTCAGATGCTTTTTATTAGTTCTACGGTCTGGTGATCCAAGAGACATTCCAGTGAAATTTCAATAGAAATGTGACAGAAGATGGAAATCTGTCAGAGTAATTTTAAAATGGTGTGCAACCGAAACACCAGCAGAAGGAATGACCCTTCCCTTCCTGTTGTCCCCATCAACCTTAGCCTTCTGATTGTGACCTCAAGAAAGAGCCAGCTACTCCAGAGATCTTATAACTCCTGCATCCAGCATCAGTAGTTGCTGCAGTAGAAAGTGATGTAAACTCCTCTGAGAAGAAGGATGCATTGGCAAATTCTGAAGCCTAGGGTAGTGACTCGGATGCTTTGGGTGTAGAGTCTGAATGAACCACCCCGGTTATTCTCAGTGTCACAGAGCTCCCAATAAGAGGAGGGCTGAAACATATCCATCAATGCCACCATGTCCAGCTCAGTATTAAAATACCACCACTTTCAATATCTTCCAAATTCTAGACATGAACACATTTTCATGACTTGTATTTTGAACACTGGTAGGATACTGTAGTTAAACACAAACTATTTACTAGTACTTTATTGACAGTAGCTTGACTGGAACTGGAAAATCTTTAATCCCTTCCCCTTGTCTCACTCTTCTTCTACAGTATGATCCCATTATCTGCAGGACCAGTATCCACTGATTCACTTATCCCTGGCCTGAACATATTTAAAATACTAAAAGAAAAACACCATAAATATATACAGTATATATCTAACAATGAACTTACCAGAACTGGCCACTAGAGGGAGCCAGAGACCATGCTGTGTATCGAATTTGCTAGGGAGATATCCACCTCCCATTCGCTTATCGGTTGGGGCACAGTCCCAGACATAGCTTGTGCCAATCCCAGACATAGCCGATCTGGTGCTTCTCCACTTCCCTGCACAGCTAGCCGCTCAGCAGCTGAGAGGGGAGACTCATTATCCCACCTCCTGGCTGCAGTGATGACTCATAAATGGGCAGGTCGGTTTGGGGATGCAGGATGGGTGGTCATGGTGGAGCTTGTCCTCAGAGGGAGAGGGCAGGGGCAGGGTGGGAACATAAGAAGAGCCTTGCTGGATCAGGCCAAGGGCCTGTCTAGTTCAGCTTCCTGTATCTCATAGTGGCCCCACCAGATGCCTCTGGGAGCATATGAGACAAGTAGATACCTTTCACCTGATGCCCCTCCCCCCTGCATATGGCATTTGGAGATAATTCCTTCTAAGCCTGGAGATTGTACATCCCCATCATGGTTTGTAACCTGCAATGGATTTTTCCTCCCCAAAATCTGTCCAATCCCCTTTTAAAGGCATCTAAGCCAAATGCCATCACCACATCTTGTGGCAAGGAGTTCCACAGACTAAAACATGACGGGTAAAGAAATATTTTCTTTTGTCTGTTCTCACTCTCCCAACACTCAATTGGAGTGGATGCCCCATGGTTCTAGTATTGCATGAGAGGAAAAAGAGCTTCCCCCTATCCACTTTATCTACTCCCTGCATAATTTTATACGTCCCAATCATGTCCCCCTTCAGGTGCCTTTTCTCCAGACTAAAGAGCCCCAAACGCTGTAGCCTTTCCTCATAAGGGAGGTGCCCCAGCTCAGGCATCATTTTAGTCGCTCTCTTCTGCACCTGTTCCAGTTCCACTATGTCCTTTTTGAGGAGTCCAGACCGGATATAAAGGGAAGATGGGCCAGATGTGGCCTGCAGGCTGCAGTTTGGAGACCCCTGGTCTGTTCTACTAGATCTGCTATTATCTGTGTTTTTCAGCATCTGCAGGGAGGCTCGGAACCAATCCCCTGTGGATACAGGGTCCTACTGTACTTTTTCTATTCTCCACCCACACCCTTCATTCTTTCTCTTCTTCACTAGCTTTCCTCTCTTTCCACCCTGGTTGTACTCATTCAGTTTTTCCATCTGTTCATCCTCCCCCCCGCCCATGTGCCACACAGCAAAATTCTTTCTTTTTCTCTCCATCTGAACTGTTTCTGGAGTCCTGCCCTCACCCTCTAAGTTGTTGTGTGTTTTCATTTTCAACCTGAACTGGACAATGCCTTCAGACAAAGGGCTCTCCTCTAATGGCTTCTCAGTCAGAAGGCTGTCCTCTATAAAGCAGGACAAACAGCCACCCCATCAGATGCTGACAGTAGTGATGACAATAGACACAAAAAACCAAGTGCAACATACGAGATGTTGGGAAGAAACTACGAGGTTGATCTCCACGAGGTTCTTCTTTCTTGGCTTCTCCAACAACAAGCTGACCATGGGATGGTAGGTAGGTTTCTGAGGAGATGAGGCTTATAGTACACTTCAAGTTTATCTTCTCGTTATAGTCCAAAGTAATTATGTTCTTGTTAATTACATCAGATAAGCCACGAAATTCAGGGACTTCCAGAACATTGGAGCCCATCTTGATAATGTTACAGTCTGGCTCAAGTAACTTGACAGGAAGGGTGATTAACTCTGTGAACGTTTCTGTTTCTGTAAATCTGTAAATCATTTGCAAAAAGTATTGTAATGTTTTAGGAAGCAAATCTGGTGGCATCTACCAAATTCAATGAAAAGTCTGTTAAATTAGCATGGGTAAAATAGATAGGAAGAAATCTAAAACAGAGGTGTATAGTAATATGCTGGGCAGCATGGATGAAATTACATGTGAATCCAATGCCGCAATTTCCTTAAATTACAATATTGCAAAAACAACTGCTGAGATGTGGGTGCTTTTTATTTTTGAAAATCTCCTATGATATATGTAAATATATCCAGTGATAAAACAACAGCAATAATACATTTTCCCTGCATTTCCACTAGTAGGTGGTGCTCATGGTTGCATACAAACATACATAGGAAAAACAGATTTCAAACACAAAACCATCAAAACAAAACAAACAAGCTGATAAAAACCACTAACGTCAATAAATCTATAAACAGTTAAAATAATTACAATAAGTAAAACATAGCCAAAAGCCAGTTTGAAAAGATGTGTCTTCACACACTTTCTCAAATTTTGAAGGGTGGGGGAGCCACACAAGAAATATGAGAGCCACACAAGAAAGAGTCTTCTTTCAATAAACATGTCTAGCATGCCTCCACATCTCTTGGTGTTCTCAATAGAGCTTCTCCTGGATATCTTAACATCTGGACAGGTTCATAGCAAGATGGGTGGCCTCTTAGATAGACATGCACTAAGCCTGGTTTTAAAGCTTACAATGAACACTTTGAATGGTGCCCAGTAAGCCACCAACGACCAGTGGAGGTCTTTCAATGCTGGGTGCATGTGATTAACACTGTGCCCCAGTTAGCAGCCGAGGTTCTACATGTTGCAGAAGATCTCAAACCAGAATAGCCTCACATACAGCATGTTGCAGTAGTCAAGAGGTAACGTAAGTATAGCATGGATGATTGTTACCATGTCATGTAGACTCAGGAAAGGCACACTATGTACAGAAGTGCAAATGTACCGTATTTTTCTGTGTATAAAATGACACTTTTTCCTAAAATAATTAAAGGAGAAATGGAGTGTCATTTTATACACGAAAGTAAGGGGGGGGATCAAAGCGCTTTGATCTCTGCTTTCCCCCTCCACATTTTGCAAAGAAAATGGAGGGGGAAAGCGATTCCTCCTTTCCCCCTACATTTTCATTGCAAAAGCAGCTTTCCCCTCCATGTGGGGAAATGTAGGGGGAAAGGAGGAATCATTTTCCTCCTCCATTTTCTTTGCAAAATGTGGAGGGGGAAAGCA